GCTGAGGGTGGAGGCACAGAGACCAAGTAGGATGTTGTTTCAAATTGCCAACAGAAATTATGTGGATCTGGTGTCAGGCAGACAGGCGGCCATGGAGCCAAGTGAGAATCACAATTCTGTAAACTATATGAAGCTACAGCAAGACACTAGAGAAAGAGAACCACTAGGCTAGTCAGCTGCTCAGATGTGTGATGACAGAGAAGGCAGTGAGGAGAAGTCAGATAGCCAGGTTTCTGGTGTGGATCATGGGTGTGGGTGTTCACCTAGAAGGGCACACAGCAGACAATGCAGAATTGGGGGTTGATAGGGGAGAGATGATAACTTCTTTTTAATACATTAAGATTGAGGTGTGTATGGTACAGCCAAATGTCCAATATGCAGTTGGATAAATGGGTCCAGGGTGCAGGAGAGAGTGGGGCTGGAGTAGAGTGGTGTAAATAATTAGTGTCCAGAGGTAGCAAAAGCCCCAGGTAAATGAGCTCTACCAAGGAGTTCATAGATGAAAAGAGGCCATTGACAGAAACCTGGAAACTGAAGTGCAGTACAATAAGGGGTAACAAGGGTAACAAGGAAGGAAAAAAGAAAGCCGGAGTGCAGAGTAATGGAATCCCAGGGAAGCAACGATTGATCTAGAGTAGGAGAAAGATGTGTGCACAAAGTCAAAAGCTGCCACCAGGTGAAGTAGGGGAAGGACTGAAAAGTAGCCTCTGCATTAGCAAGAGGGATTTCACTGTGATGTCTTAGGAGCCTGTGGGAAACCTAGACTAAGGACAGGAGGAAAGGAAGGAAAGGGGAGAGAGGCAGAAAGGCAAGAAGAGAGGATGGCCCGGCCAGGCGTGGCTCAGCGGTTGAGCGTCGACCTAGGATCCAGGCAATCGGGGTTCGATTCCTGGTCAGGGCACATGCCCAGGTTGCGGGTTCAATCGATGGCTTTCTCATCATTGATGTTTCTATCTCTCTCTCTCTCTCCTTTCCTCTCTCTGAAATCAATAAAGATATTAAAAAAAAAAAAAAAAAAAAGATCTAAGAAGAGAGGATGGTTGGATAAAGGGAGCCAGGTCCTGGGCCCAGAGCACTGTTGGTACAAGAATGGGTCTCAGACAGAGGAAGGGGATGCTTCCAATGAGACAGGAAAAATAGCATAGCCCAGGCCAGTATGGCTCAGCTTGGTTGGAGCATCATCCCATACACCGAAATCGAATCGTGGGTTTGATTCCCAGTCAGGAAACATACCAAGATTTCAGGTTCGATCCCCAGTCGTGATGTGTACGGGAGGCAACTGATCAATGTTTCTCTCACACATCTCTCTCCTCTCTCTCTCTTTCTCCTTTCCTCCCTCCCACCCTCTCTCTTCCTCTCTCTAAAATCAATGGAAACATCCTCAAGTGAGGATTTAAATAAAAAATAGCAAAGATGTTAATGATTTTGAAGGGTGATGCTGGAGGAAGATGAAAGAGGTCTTGTCCTAGAGTTTTTTCTCCTGAGGCTTAGGAGGCAAGGCCTGCTGCAGAGTAATGGGTGAGGGTGCGAGGCTGGATCAAGGCAGTGAGGGGTAAAGTTTCTGGCCTGGAGCAGCTAAGGAGAGTCTGGCAAGTAAGAGGTGGGGAGTGTTCATTCCCTCCAGATGAAATGTAGGCAAAAAGGGGATTGAGAATGAAAAATGTATGCCTGAACCAGGGCTTAGGGAGTTGTGCTACCTTTCCTGAGATTTCATTTTAACTAGAGGCACTGACCCCACTTTACTAGTGGCCAACTCAGCCTGGGCAATGGGCCCTAATTGGCTCTAACAACCTGGTATGAAACTGACTCCTCCCAAACTTTGTGCACCAAAGTCCAGTGCAACAGGTTGAGAACAATTTTCTCTTAATAAACATAAATTAAAATGGAATGTGGTTCCATGAATAAAAATTATCAACTTGTTATCTGAGTTGTGTAAGACTGAGCACTGGAAATGAACTTAGGGAAGAATAGGCAAACTCAGTGAGAACTTACACAAAGAGATAGAAACGAAAAAAAAAGAGAACCAGTCAGAAATGAAGAATATATTAAAATCAATAGCAGATTAGATAAAGCAGAGGATGGAACCAACGATTTGGAAGACAAGGTACTTGAAAACACCAAATTGGAACAGCAAAAAGAAAAAAAATTTTTTTAATGAATATAGTTTAAAGGACCTCTGGGACAACAACAAGCATAAAAACATTTGCATCATAGGGGTACCAGAAAGAAAAGAGAAAGAGTAAGACATTGAAAACCTATTTGAAGAAATAATAACTGAAAATTTTCCTAACCTGGCAAAGGAAATAGACACACATATCCAAACAAGATGATCACAAACAGGCCCACACCAAGACAAATCTAATTAAAATGCCAAAGGTAAAAGACAGAGAATCATCAAAGCAGCAAGAGAAAGGTTCCTACAAGGGAGCACCCATAAGATTGTCAGCTGATTTCTCAACAGAAACTTTGTAGGCCAGAAGGGATTAACAAAATAGACAAAGTGAATAACAGCAAGTGAATACAACCAAGATTATTCTACCCAGCAAGACTATCATTTAGAATCAAAGGAGAGCCAAAGAGCTTCCAAGACAAGAAAAAGCTAAAGGATTTCATCACCACTAAACCAGTAGTATTATAAGAAAGGTTAAAAGGAATTCTTTAAGAAGAAAAAAGAGATAAAAGGTATGAATAATAAAATGGCAATAACTACATACCTATCAATAATTACTTTAAATGTAAATTGATTAAATGATCCAATCAAAAGACATAGGTGGCTGAATGGATAAGAAAATAAGACCCATGCATATGCTGCCTATAAGAGATCCACTTCAGATAGAAAGACACACACAGACTGAAAGTAAAGGGATGAAAAGAGATATTTCATGCAAATGGTAACAACAACCAAAAAAGTTGTGGTGGATATAGTTATAGTTGACAAAATAGACTTTAAAACAAAGGCTATATCAAGAGACTAAGAAAGACATTTCATAATGATAACGGGATCAGTCCAACAGAGGATATAACCTTTGTAAACACCCAATGTGGGAGCATCTAAATATATAAAGCAAATACTGACCGGCATAAAGAGAAAGATCTACAGTAGTATAGTCATCATAGGGGAATTTAATACTTCATTGACATCAGTGGATAGATCTTCCAGACAGAAAACCAACAAGGAAATAGCAGCCTTATATGATACATTAGACCAAATGTACTTAATAGATATTTTAAGAACATTCCACCCCAAAGCAACAGATATACACTTTTTTCCAGCACACATGAAACATTTTCAAGGACAAACCACATGCTGGGCAACAAGACAACTCTCAATAAATTCAATAAGACTTAAATCATATCAAGCATTTTCTCCAAACACAATGGTATGAAACTAGAAAATCAATTAGAAGAAGAAAGCTAAAAAATACACAAACAGATGAAGGCTAAATAACATGATACTATACAATAAATGCACTAACAAGATCAAGGAATAAATCAAAAGATATCTTGAGACAAATAAAAATGAAAACACAATAACCCCAAATCTATGGGATGCAGCCAAAGCAGTTCTAAGAGGAAAATGGATAGCAATACAGGCCTACTTCAAGAAACAAGAAAAACCTCAAGAAACAAGAAAAATCTAACCATCCACCTAAAGAAACTAGAGAAAGATTAAAGATGGCGGCAAACTGAGTGGAAGCTACACTGACATTCTCACAAGACCAAACTAGAATTATA